AGTATGTTCCCACCCCTAGATTCAGCAAATAACTCAATAGACCACCTATAAATGCATTCCACCTCGTAAATTTTCTACCTAGCATCAAGCATTGTTACTGTTGTGACATTTTCAAAGAGGCCAACTCCCCTGAAGAGGCACATCTGTTTTATCAGAACTCCTTCCAATGAAAAATCCAGGTTCCTTCGGCTGAGGGCAATGTTAGGCCTACATTTCCTAGCATGAAACTATTGATGCCATTGTTGGCCTGTCTGTAGGAAATTTCTGGACGCACAATAGAGTTATGTGAATACATCTCAAAACTTGAAACTCGTTGAATGCCTGCTCCAGACATTCAAGTATTTACAATGCCTTTCCGTCATTCCAGAGTAACCAATCCTTAAACCTAGAACAATACAAGTCATTGTATGGAATTTGGAGAATTTTAGTGAAAAAACAGAGAATAGAGTTAGCTATTACAACTTACATGTCCCAAAAGATTATGATGGTGATCTGGATGTCCCAAACTTAAATGTGTTCAACTAGGATGGCATGTTCGTGTTCGACAATCTACTATGGTCATTTTTCTTTCTATCAGAAGCATTATATAATTATAACTTAAAGTTATCATTAAATAACAAATAGGTATTCATACAGAAAAATTAATAATAAGTATAAAACTAAATTTGTATTATATAAATGAAGAATTTAATCAATATGTTAGACAACGTGTCGTGTCGGTACTTTTTTTATAATTCGTGTGTTGGAGTGTCCGACACGACACACGTATTCTCTCTTAGTGCATCATAATGATCATATGAGTGGGGTGTACATGTTCAAACTACACATTCAAACTACAAAGAGCAAATTTGAGCCAATTACCTTTAGAAAAAGAGTAAGTTACACAATCTATCTCATAAAAGTAGTTGAAATTGTAAAATAATAGGAAGTAACCCTTTATTTTGAAGAAATTCATCAATTAAATTTACAACAGGAGTTCTCATAATGGAGCAGTCAAGCAACTGCTTAGGATAATCCATTTTGACGAGAGTTGCCTCTCTGAAAGTGCTATGACAGTAACAATGCGTGTTGTGAGTTATAAGAGATTTACATTTGACGCATGTGTCGGGGGTTTAAGGGATTATTTACTCAAGATAGAGGTGGGAAAACACATGCACCTATTCCTGAATCCATTGCTAAAGAGCTTTAGTGTCAGGTTTCATTTTAAAATGAGTCAATCTTTTTAAGTGGTCTCATAAAGTTCTCTTCTGCAGTGTGAGCCAGTATGCTCAAAGGATTCGTCAATTTGGGTGGCCACGATTTATTTATCTTGCTCTTTTTGCCATTAGCATATTTCATGGACTTTGAGGCCTACTGTTGTTAAACCACTCAAATGAATAAAAGATTTCACAAGCATATGCACACAGCAGGATCAAGAACCTGGCGATGTATGAACGATGAAAACAGAAAGACTAGGACAAATTTTTATACCGGTCGGCGTATAAATGCCCTACATCCAATTCGGGGCTCTTGTTTGATGATAGAAAGCAATAGAGTAAATAAATGGATTACAAAATAATTTTGAAGTACAAGACACCTCTGTCTGAATTTTGATTCGAATAGTACAAAATTTACCTTTCATTTCACTTCACAGTGCTTAAATAGTATTGTAGACATAAAAAAAATATATAAAAAATAAATAAATAAAATAACAAACAATGGGTTGGGTCAATTTAAATAACTAGCCCAATTAAGTTTAATAAAAAGCCTACTAAGGCTCATAAAATTTTAAAGGCCCGTCCCACTCTTTTAAAAGCCACTATTATTTAATTATAATCAATTCTAAATTCTAAATTAAAGCCTACTAAGGACCATAAAATTTTGAAAGCCCATCCTACTCTTTCAAAATCAACAATTATTCAATTATAATCAATTTATTTTAATTAATTGAGTGGTTACCAAAATTGATCACAAATTTTCCCTATAAATAGGACCAAAGGTTCATAATAGAGGGGAGGTGAAAATGAAGAAGAAAATCATGAAGTGCTGAAAAAATCCCAAAAACTGAAGGAAGAGAAGAAATTCTCTCAACTCCAAGTTCGACGAACACGAAGAAAATCAAAATTTTCTTCAAATCAAGAAAACCCAAGAAGATCAAAATCTTCTTCGAATTAAATCAAGATCAAGTCTAAAGTTTTGAAGTGCAAATCTAAACTCCGAAATTCAAGTGTCGAACAAGTCAAGTTTTCGACAAATCAAATTCTCAACAAATCTCGAAGTCTAGGATTCAAGCCACGAGGCTTCTCGTCTTCAAACATTTAGATCATTAATCAGATGATTTTACAATTTTGTAATTACAAGAAGATTCATATCCATTTTTATTTCTCAAAATACAATTTGTAACAATTTCTGTATTTTAATACGCGAAATCCGTCGTACAAGCATTTTTTTCATTAATTTTCTGAGAAGAGGACTCTCTTCATAGTTTAGTTATCAATTCATTTCCGAACAGTACAAACTTTCTCAGTGAGCTCTTCATAGTTTAAACTCATTGCTCATCTCTAAATTCATTTATTTTGAAAATTGTCCAAAGAACTGTATTAACCTTTTAAGTTTGCAAATGCCAAACAGACCTAATAACGACCAAGAAATGAAAAATAAGAAAATATTTAACTATTTTTATCTGTTTTCTAGTCTTGTAACTATAGCAGAAGTGTCCCTCACACTTAAATTAAGGTGCCGGTCAAGCTGGTTAACCATGAAAGTCAAAGATTGCAAAGTCAATGGGGACTCTTATTATCACGTAACATAAAAATGCGAAAGAAGAGTAAAGCTTTCAGATTGAGATCGAGCGTCAAACCTCTTGTTTGGCCCCTGTTTGTGTTTGGACTAAAATACAATTAAAGTCTCGAGTCAAAGTCAACAATTAATTTTAACCACACATTTTGTGAGACCCACAACTTTTCAACCACATATTTCATCAACTTTTATCAAAATCTATTAAAAATCTGATTATCATTTCTATCAAACAGGGGCCAAATGTTTTATCAATTAATTTCAGTGTGTGTTTAATTTCTATCAAACGTTTGTCAATTGATCTCAAAAGTATCCTTTTTAATAATGTGACGCGCAAGAGAGGTGTAAAAATTAAAAGTAACGAAAGAGTGCTAAAAATCATTGTAGCCCAGGCCTTTTTCAGTATATTTCTGTTGAAGTCTCTTGTTTCTTCTAAACATAGTGTTAGAATTGGGATGTGAACCAAATTCTTGTTGAGTATTTGATTATAAATACTGTTGGAGGAATATTGGCAGTTGGTAGTAGACTTGAAGATGTTTTGAAGGAGACCAAGGTGAATGACTCATATTTCATCCCAAATTCTCAATTATTAGTTTTACCCATTATATTTGGATTTCACCTTATATTAAACTCTTCATATATTAATTCTCCTAGTGTGTTAGAGATTCTTTGGTTATAAATATGTGATGTCCAACACATTGATATTGACCAATTATCCAATTTGTTCAAAGAGATCATTTGTAACTCCTTACTATTGATTATAGTGAATTCTTCGACTCTGCCCGTGATTTTCCCGAATTTGGGTTTCCACGTAAATCTTGTTTTCTTTGTGATCCATTATTTTCATATTGCCCTTATTTTGTTGGATTCTTAACAAAGTAGTATCAAAGCGATTCTGGTATCTTGCTTGCTTCATAATAAGTGGTATCAGAGCTAAGGTTTTTTGGAGATTTCTTGAGAGGTGCAAATTGGTTATTAAAGCGAGATTTGAACAAGGTCAATTGTTTTAGGGATGACAACTATAAAATTTGAGACTCCACTTTTGGATCACAACAAGATTTTTTGTTATGACTGCTTTTTTGTTTGGATGCCGAAGGAAAAGCAATATAAGGATCGATTATAAATCTTCGAAGGTTCAATGATCACTTTGGATGCAGCTACAATTATGGTTCGATAAGCGATAACTCGAGTAGAGTTGGTTGTGGTCATGTTGCTCGTGGTGATTCTGGCAATGATATTGAAGAACTTCCCAGTAGCTCAGGTGGAGCTAGTTGTGATCTTGTTTCTCATGGTGATTCGAGCAGGCTTGACAACTCGGGTGGAGTTGGAAGTGCTTGTGGTGATTCGAGTAGATTTGATGACTCGACTGGAGTTGGTAATGAACAAGATGATTCGAGCAGATTTAGCGCGCACGGTAATTCTGATGGTAAGCAGGGCTTGAAATTTGTTCACAGTTGTTGAGTGTGCTCGAAGGGGCATGGTGGAGCAGGTGGAGTAATTTGGTGGAGTGTTTTGTTTGGAGAATGTTGGAATTGAAGAGTTGATTTTAATTCCTTGCAATAGAATTCGTATCAAGGTGGAATTTGTTAGAATTAGGTTGTGACCTGAATTCTTGTTGAGTATTTGACAAATATTTTTGGAGGTGCATTGGGAATTGGTAATGGACTTGAAGACGTCTTGAAGGAGTCTAAAGTGAATTGACTCCTACTTCATCCCAAAGTTTCCATGATTAGTTTTATCTATTATATTAAGACTTCACCTGCTATTAAACTCTTCATGTATTAATTCTCCTATTATTTTAGGGGTTCTTTGGTTATAAATATGTGATGTACAATACATATTGGAATTGGCCAATTGTCCAATTTGTTATTGGTCCAAAGAGATCCTCGTAACTCCTTACTATTGATTATAGCGAATTCTTCACTTCTGCCTATGGCTTTTCCGGATTTGAATTTTCACGTAAATCTTGTTTCTTTGTGATCCTTTATTTTCATATTGTCCTTAATTTCTCAACTTTAGTTATTTGGCCGGATTCTCCACAAAGTGGTATCAGAGCGATTTTGGTATCTTGTTTGTTTCATAACATATAACCCAATTGGGTGTGACGTTCAATAGTGCGCACACAAAATATTTTCAATACATGGCTTGCTAGGAAGAATTACGAGGTAACGATTGTACTCCTGCTATATGCAACTCATTCACATGGCTACATTTACAGAATTTTTTTATCTTGCTTCTAGCGTAGTTACTGTCACCACATTATGGGTGAGATATCTTTCTTCACTTTTTGACATATCTGTTCCTGTGCAACTTCTCTCCATGAAAAATCCAGGCTCCTCAGGCTGTGGCAATGTCACACCCTCGTTGCTTAACATGACAACAACAGATGCCATTGTTGGCCTGTCTTCTGGTAGTTTTTGGACACACAATAGACCTATGTGAATACATTTTAGTACTTCAGATTCAACGAAAGATTGCTCATAAATGTCGTCCATTAGTTCCGTTGCCCTGCCTTCATTCCACAATAACCATGCCTACAATATAATGAAAGAAAGTTAATTATTTTCACACAGATTTGATAAGAAGAGAAGGAAAGTTCAGCTTTACATGACTTACATGACCTGCTAGATTATGATGATGGTCAGGATGGTGAAATGTCCGATTCTTTCTGCCACTCACAATCTCTAGTAGCAATACTCCAAAACTAAAGACATCAGATTTGACCGAGAACTTACCATCTACAGCATATTCAGGTGACATATACCCACTGCATTAATATAACATTAAGTTCAACATATAATGCATGCACATTTTTCAAATGGGTTGTTAGAACGGAACTTACTATGTTCCAATAACTCGCTTTGTTTTGCTTTCAGTTTGATCTTCACCAAAAATTCTCGCGAGGCCAAAATCGGAAATTTTTGAGTTCAACTTACTGTCTAGCAAAATGTTGCTTGTCTTAAGATCTCTGTGAATAATTCTCAATCTAGAATCCATGTGAAGGTAAAGAAGTCCTCTTGAAATGCCCATAACAATATCAAAGCGCTTTTGCCATGTAAGCAATGCTTTTCTATGCTGATCTGCAATAAAAGAATCTCTATTATTAATATAAAATTATATAATAATGATCTTATTAGTTATTAGATAGGAGCACAGGGGAAGCAGATTGACCAAAAATGAAATAATCCAAGCTTTTGTTGGGCATATACTCATAAATTAGCATCCTTTCATCTCCTTCAAGGCAACAACCCAAAAGCCTTACAAGATTTCGATGTTGAAGTTTGGCAATCAGAGCTACTTCATTCTTAAACTCTTGAAGACCTTGTCCAGAATTCTTCGAAAGTCTCTTCACTGCAACTTCTAGGCCTGTTGATAATGTACCCTGAATAGATAGTTTAAAATATCTGTCATGAAGATGTTCTCATATTCTTATACAGAAGAATAATTTATGTGTTGGCCTTTCTTACCTTGTACACTATTCCGAAACCACCTTCTCCAATTATATTTGTCAGAGAGAAGTTCTCAGTTGCAGTAGTAATTGTAATCAGATTAAACATGGGTATCTCTATATCTTCATCGTTGGTCTCAACTCCTACACATTGAGAGATTAATGATCAATGGCGAATTAATTAACTTAATTGCTGCTGCAAGATGTCATAAATTTGTGCTGAAAATGGGATAAAGATGGCTTGGAAAGAACAAATGTGGATTATGCTCAATAAAAGGAAGTAATTCACGGAGATTGAACTTGTTTGCATACCTCTTTTCCTTTTGCTATTCTGGGTAAGACACCATATCAAGAAGCCAAGAATAAGCAGTCCAGAAACTAGTGATATGACCAAGATCAGCACAAGCCTTGTATTTTTACTATTTCCTGAATGTCAAAAGTTAATTACCATTCATGGACATTAGTCATTCACACCTACCTAGATAACTAGATGATTTTAATAATGTTGTTATCCGCATTAGTACCAAAGCGCAGTATAACTATGAAGGACAGTTATTTTGCTAGATCATCTCTCCAATACGCACAAACATTGCAATTGGGTTTTATTGTGTTATAGCAATAATTTTGATTGAATTCCTAGAAGAAATTATCATTATAAGAAATCTGAAAATGGGCAACTAGGTAATATGAAAACAGAATTTACCAAATTCCTGGAAGAAAGTGCAGTGGCCGAATCTGAGAAATCTAAAACAAGATTGAATTATATAATCTTATGTGTACTTACTAAGTTCCGACACCGGCATTCTTATATAGATCACATCTTGCTCATTATTCTCAGAAAACTCTTTAATATCAATCAGATCCCCAAACCACATGAAACAGCCACTACCACCTTCACGAATATCTGAATTTGCATAAGCTATACAATAGCAGTTCTTCAAGCATTCTGACTCACATTGGTTTAGACTCATGCTCTTGTTTAGTGAAAACTGCAAGAGATCTGGCAATTTCACACCGCTGAGCTTTACAAATCCTTCTCCTTGCTCGCAATTTAAGGGAATCCTCCTCACACATCCATTCGACCAATCAAGTATATCCCATTCACTCTGAGATTTAGGGACAAATCCATATAAGCACTCACAAAATTGCCTGTTACTGATTTTGCAAATTCCATTAGCACCACAACGTCCATAATCATCGCACTGATCATTTTGCGAGGAATGCAGAGTGGTCCATGAGGAGTCCCCTTTGTTCAATGCACGACGTCGGAGCAAACCTGATGAAGTTACAGTGAGCCTGGTGATAAATGAATTGTCGGTGTACTCATACGTGTATTCTTCATTGTCATAAATGAAAACTGGTTTGTAAACGGTGTTCGACACAGTTCTAGTACCACTAAATCGAATTCCATTCCATGGTCCGGTGCGGAATATCTTCTCTGATCCCTTTCGAAGAACAAATTGAGGCATCCCAAGATTGTCGATTCTGTAAGTGATGTCTCCAGGAGACGGGTCGTTTTCATCTTTCCAGGATGTCAAATACCTGTTTACGCCAGTGCTCAAGTTCCATCCCAGCTTCATTCCTGGTAATAGTGTATCAGATGGGAAATCAAAGCTTTGCCATACATAGGTTTGTGAATTGTCATCCTTTCTTCTGAGAATAAGGTTGCCAGATTCCAATAGCTGTGCAACTGACCCTTGGACTCTTTCCGAAGAATTCGATGACCAAGCAACGCCTCCTATACCATTCAGGAGAATAAGATCCCCATCAGGGCTAATAGTCAGAATTCCAGATGAATTCAATAAAGGAATTTCTCTGTTTGCAACCCACACAACTATTTCAGGAAATTTTTTGTACCATATTCCTATGTACCATTCGCTTGAATTACTGGGGGAAAAGAAGCCTAATTCAAAACTTTCGCCGGAGGATACCAAAGTCTCCCCATTTGTGATGGTAGCATTAGAGGTCAATGTATCAATAGCTATGCAAAATTCCAAGAGTAAAGACAGGAGAAGAATGAATAAACATTTAGGGAACATTTGTAACTGTATGATTTAGTGTGTGCAATGCCTTTGATGGCATTTTATAAAGCTAGAAAATTTTGTAATAATATTACAGCAGCCATGATACACTTTCTCCAATAGTTGTTAAAGTATACATAAATATTAAGTAAGAAATTATTCAACTACAGAGAATTCTAATAAAGACGTTATCATAATGCCCTTTATAATCATTGACATCTTTGTACTTCTAAATATAATATTACACAAATAATGCAACTGTTTATATCTATAAAAAAGTATTAATTGATTGTAAAGCGAAAAAATAATATTACTATTCATGCAACTTGCGTTAAGTCAGAATATAGATAGATGAAAGGGAAAGCAGTGACGAATTTTGCATCCAGTGGTTTCCTAGAAATATCTTTCATATGTCTTCCATATAAGTAAACCTTGACAATTATAAATCAACAGTTAAATGTTGAATTTTGAAATCTAATGGAAAAAAAAAAATGTGTACAATTCCACCGCTACGGATTAGCCAAAAGTTTGGTGATCATTGTGATCCAAAAGGATTTTTTTGTCAAACTTACGTACTATGTCTGTGGCAAATAAGGTTTTAACGTATGAAATCACAAACACTAATTTCAAGCAAAAAGTGCAATAGGTTGATTTCTACATCATAATCAAAATTCTACTGGAAATTTCCTTCACACATTAAGCATAGAGTCTAACTAATTGACTATAATTTTAGACAATGGGCACACATTTGTTTTCTAGAAAGTCAAGGAAACTGGTAAAAGATAGACTTTTTGGCATCAGACTTTAATTGCTGTAGTTTTTAATCTTTACTCATTATCGTATTTGTACATTGTATTTTTATCCTTAAACTTGCATTAATTGTCACACTTCTTCGTGATAACAGTTTCCGTCCAAAAAGGTTTTTAAAACATAAAAATACTTATTTACCCACTCATATTTTTACATAATAATTTTACAAAAAGCTGGAAAGAATATTTGCCCCTCGTATCAAAGCACGCTAATAAAATATTTGAACTAAAATCATCATTAGAGAGCAAATTGCTATTTAATGGAAACTCGACTGTAAGAATTTGAGAAAAAAGATGAGGAAATAAATGTGATAAAATGAAAAAATTGAGGACTTATTTTGCAGTTAAAAAGTGGTGTGCTCTAATAAAAACTGTGGTGGCAACATAGCTACCCAAAAGTGATTTCTAAAGGTTGCAGTTTTCGTTCTCAGCCTTTCCAGAAAGTACAGATTACCTTTGAGGTGGGGGTGGGGATGGGTTTGGGCGGGCGCGGGACAAGTTTAGGGGAGAAGACATTTAAAAAAATGATCCAAGTCTTTCAAGGATTTCTTGTAATTTTGTTCCCAAGAATTTTTATGTATGATGGTATGGAATCTCCTTTTCTTGATCTTAATTACACTTTATAGTCTTCAAGGCCTTTAAAGTCGTGCAACGAGATTAAATACCCTTGGTTTTAGGTCAAAAAATCAAAATCCTGAGTTGATAGGGACCTAGTAGAGCTCGTTTGCAAAACCGCAACAAGACGCGACCTGCGGTTTAGTCAAGCTAAATGCACATAACATTTGATTCGTAGCTGCAAATTGCGATTCACCTTTTCGCATTGAACTTGAAATTCAGTTATCTTTCCAATGGCAAATTGTTCGAATAAATCTCATAAGCTTGCAAGACCAATCGTTGACAAGTAATAATTGTGATGGTTGAGTATCGTCCTATGAGAAATAAATTTCAATCAAAATGTGCTAGTCTTGTATCGAATTCGAAATATGAAACACAAAAGAGATGATTTGTTGTGATTATTCTACTAATTATATAAAAGTTTTAGTTTGTATAAATAAATAAATGATTGTATTGGATTTAAAATCCATCTTTTATTATTTACTTCAATTCTTGATTATGTAATTTAGTTTTATTCGTTCATTCTTAATAATCAATAATCTTATGATATTTAATTTTCTTTATCAAGATAAATTAAGTCTATTCTAGACACGACTCAATCATACTCGTGTTCATAGTTCGAATTCGAATGAATAGAACACATTTGATTGCACGATTATTTAGGTGATAACGCATTCTGATAACGCATTCAATAACACGATTATTGATGTGATTGCACACGCATTACATTATTACAACAAGCAACAAATAACCTAATCGGGGATCAAGCAATTAAATAATGCAATGAGCATGCATAATTTATAAAAAATAATAAAAATAAGAAGAATTACTAAACTACTTGTCTTTAATTAAAATAAATAAGTAAAATAATGCATCTTCATCTTTATTCAATACAAATAAAGATCTAACCTAGCATTATTATATATGAATTATACAAAGAATTACGAAAAGATATGACCCGAATCATAGAACAATATAAGAATCTTGATGGAGAATCAATATCTTGGTCTTGATCTTGAATCCAAGCCTTAAATCTTCAAATTCTTGTATGAAGTGTCTTGAATTCCTTGCTAGCTTGATCTTCTCCTTCAAATTTGTGATTTTACCTCTCGTTCTGGATGAATTTTATGATATGAATATGTATTCATAGGCTAGAGAGAGACCTCCAATGTGTAGCCCAAATTCTCTATTTATAGGAGTTGAAAATTAGGTCAAAATTGCGTTCAATTTGTGTTCCAAAAGAGTTCAAAATGAAGAAGGAAAACTGGCCCAATGTCCCATAAAATCACCAAGCGAGCACTTGGTGTAACAGCCTGCCTGCACATCGCCTATTAAATTCACCTTGGGTTTGTTGTAATTGGACCGTGTGCGCATGCCAGTATAGGTGGTGCCTCCTAAGATTTGATGAATAACGTTTTGATCCCCTAACTTTCATCTGTCGTTCAATTGCATCCTTTTCTCCTGCAATCTACATACTTTGACTTCTATTTCATCCAATTGATTCCGTTAGGTCTTCAATCAACACTTTGGGTTCCAATCAACTATTAGAAACTTGCAATTTGATACCTGAACTTTGAACTTCGTCCTTTTCGCCCATTTTTCGTTCCTTTCTTCCAATTCCACTTCAATCACCGAGTTTTTCCTAACAAACAAAATTGACTCACAATTAAGCTATTATTCATTTAGATCAACAACAAATACCCCACTTTAATAGCTCAAATAAGTGTAATCAAACACTCCAAACTTGAACATTTGTTTGTTCTCAAACAAAACTATAACATAACTTAACAAACAAGCATGCATGCATGCATGCAATGTTAATTACCTAATTGGTGGCAATTCAATCAAGTAATGCAATAAAATTGGTCAGATATCATGCCATTTATCTCATGATTAAAATCGTAGAATTAAATCTATGAACAACTTCAAAATCACAATACATGAATCAATTCCTACTTATCCAATGCAAAATTGATATGTGTGCGTGAAGAATGAAGTGATTTTGATTGCCCAAGTTCAACAATGAAATCTTGTCAGGCTGATGTTGCCTTGAAGGAGATGGTGCTTATTTACTAGTATATGCCCAATAAGAGCTTGAATTATTTCATTTTCGGTCAATCTACTTCTCTTTCCCTCCTGTTCGATTAAGATCACTTTCATAATAAGATGCATATTCATAATCCACAAGTCATAAATCACACTCATTTAGTATGAAACTTATTCACTACGACTAACAGTGGCTGTCAACTGAGCTGTATTAGCATGTTGCAAATTAGCATAGAACTTTTACATTGTTATGGGCATATTGAGAGGACTTCTTTACCTTCGTGGGGACTCAAGATTTGATTTATTCACGTTGATCTTAAAACGAGTAGCATTTTGTAAGATAGTGACTTGAATGCAAAAAATTTTGATTTTGGCCTTGCAAGAAGTTTCGTTGGAGATCAAACTGAAATCAAAACAAAGAGAATAGTTGGAACAGAGTAAGATTTATACTCAGCACCCATTTTAAGAAAATGTACAATATCTAAATCCTAATTTTATTTTTATGCGGTGGATATATGCCACTTGAATACGTTGTTGACAGGAAATTCTCAGTGAAATCTGAAGAAAGATGCTTGACTCGTAATTCTGTGACAACGAATGTGCTAGAAGCAATATAAAAAAAAAAAAAAAAGTGGCCTAGTTAGAATTGGCAATTATATTCCTAGTACAATAAATAAAGCGTGCTTGCAAAATAGTTAAAATAAAGGGTTGAATAAGAACCTATTTAGTGTTAGCTTCATTGTAGTTCCTAGAAAAATAATCAGAACTCAAGCCATCCTTCAAAAGCAACCTACTTCCTATTAGTTCGTATACTGTGTCGATGCCCATAATGGATTTAATGATCTTGGAGAAAAATCTTAAATGGGAATTTTTAGGGCTTTCTTCCGACACAAACTTCAATTGTGAACCTTTGACATTTTTAAACTAAATCTCAGATTTCAAAAGATAAGAAATGTTGTAATGAATTTTACATTTATAAGAATTTTTCTGCTTGCATAGAAAAATTCGTACAGAAAAAATATAGATACTCGCATGGGGGTGGGCCTCATGTGAATTAAATATTGCCAAAAAAGGGGCCCACCTATTTGTGTGTATTCTGTATGATTTCTATGTGTTTTTTTTTTTTTTTTGTATACATACTCTCTCCATTTATAAACGGTTGTCAATAAACCTTTGCTATGTTAACTACTCATTTCATACAAAAATATTTGACCTTTCATTGCTATTTCCTCTAAGTTAAATCTTTAATCATTTTTAAAAGTTTAATACAATGTACAAGATTGTAATGTACAAGAAATTATAATTTGTGAGTTTCCAATCATTTTCACCGGTGTGTGACCGAATAAATCTACAGCAGAAATGTCTGTCTTATTCAAGGTGCCAGTCAAACTTGCTAACCTTGATAAGTCATGGAATTTGAATCAAATGGAGACTTGTATAACCAACCTTTAGCGTCTCTCCTTGACCTTTCTACTAGTGACTTGCCCTCTTGCATTACTAAAGGTGTTTCACTACCCAGCTCTTTTAGAAAATAAATAAACAAATAAAATATAAATTACTCAAGATTGTTGCTGGAACCTGGTCATGTCACATAAAAAA